TAAGAACTCAGAAAAAGATTCAAGAAAAAAACCCTCTGAATCTCAGATGCTGTTAGGCCTTTGATATAGGAAAGGTCAAAAAGCAGGCGCAGCAAAGATTTTAGGAGTCTATTTTATTGTAATAAGGTATAGTAACAGTATCTTGAAAGCCTGTCCAGGTTTCTCTCTGTCCCACCTTTTCCTAAAAAAAAATTAAGGCACAGTTACTTTGAGGTTGTTTTTTTTTCCTTTCCTTTTTTTTTTTGGTGCCTTCTTGATTCCTGGCAACAGCTTGGAAGTGTCCCTGCAGTTTTCTTGGCAAGTGTTTTGTCATTGCCTCCTTCCTAGAGCTGAGACAGAGTGACTGTCCCAAGGTCACCAAGGCAGGATTAGAATTCGCAGAATCGTAGTCTCTAGCCTGATGCCTTAACCACTAGGCTAAACTATTCTTTTTCAAGACTGTGCAATCATTTCTGCAAGCCATCCTTTACTGGCTTGCTTCTTCCTTCCAGAAGGTCAGCTCTGCATTCCTTTACAGGCGCTAATTGGCAGGGAGAAAGTTTTCTACAGAATATGAGGATTGAGGATTTTTGGAGCTTTGGTAACTGAGATGTAGAAGTGCTACTAATGAAGATCATTTCTGTGCAAAGGGAGATGATTGAGAGCAATTGCCTTTCCTTGCTTTACAGTTTCTGGCCCAGCACGGGAATGCACTAGCCAAAGCAACGTATGAGGCTCATGTACCTGCTTATTATTATCGCCCATCTTACAACGACTGTCAGTAAGTGCTATAACTCTTGACTAGAGAAGGTATAGTAGATTGGGTGGTAGGCATTCATGGCTTCTCTTACCTGCTTTATCACTTACGGTGATGTCTCACAGAGTCCTGAGAGAGCAGTGGATACGAGCCAAGTATGAACGGAAGGAATTCCTGGAGCCAAAGAAAGAAGTTCTTTATTCCAATGGTAACAATTCTATGGTGGATTTTCTAGCTTTATTTAACTTTTATTTATGCAAATGTCTATGCCTTTTGTCTTAAGCAAATTAAAACTTGGGAAATAATCTTTCCAACAGCATGTTGGATGCCCTGAGGCAAAGCCCAGTGAGAGCTGCTTAAAAATAATTGGACCCAGATATTTTAATTTTATACTGATAGAAATCTGAATATATACCGTACCTCTGCCCAAATGGAAAATAAACCTGAGTTGTCGATTTTGCTTTTATACAGACTCCTGAAATATATTAGTGTTGTTCATATATAATGCTAAAGTACGATATATATTTTTTTACATTGGTTTGCTGGATAAGCCATACTGCTCTAGATCACAATGAAGATGAGATAATGGATGCTGTCAGTTTCACATAAAATGCTATGCTCAAAGCAAGCAAATAAATTATGACTTCAATTTATGTGTGAAATGCACCATTAGGACTAACTTTCAAAACTGACTGTAGGACCTGTCGGAGAAGGCAGGATGCTGCTATGTGAGCTTACAATATAGCCCGGGTAGCAAGGATCGGCAGGATGAGAGATTGTAAATTCAAGAGAAAGATTAGAGTTTGGTGGCAAAATATGTGGTTTGAGAAGTTGCCAGTTTCCATTCCTGGCATCTTCTTGTAGACTGATGAAAATGAAGCTTTGGAAATGGCCGGCCATCTATGTCTAAAATACTAGGCCAGAAGGTTCAGTGCTAAGACTGATTGCCACTGTAGATATAATACCGTGCTTTTGTTACTGTTTGCAAGCAAAAACCACAGAAAGCACATAGCAGCCAGTTTGGTTTAGTGCCACAGTAAAAGCTCCTTTGTTTTCAGAAGAAGAGTTTCACACAACTGCAGAAGGGAGAAGGCAATTGCAGAGTCCCAGAGATGGTGGTACAAGTGTGGTTAAAGCTGTTCCCACATTGCTTTCCGGAGGAATTAATATCAGCTCAAACATTAGTTAATCAGGGTTTGGGTCTGGGTTTGAATAACACATTAAACCATATCCACAACAAACGCCACAATTGCAGAATGTCATTAAGTTTCTTATTTAACCAAAATGATCCAGAAGGCCAAGTTACCTTCCATGGTAGAGACAGCTCCTTATATTCCCAATGCTTAACCAATGCTACCATCAGGCATACAGTTCACTCTTCAGAAACCTCTTCCTTTTAACAGGCCCATCGATTGTTCATAAAATGGTATCATCAGTGCTACCGGTAAAAAACACTTCACTGTTCTCCAACATAGGAAATGTCATAGTGCGACAGCCTGCAAAAATGTAACAGGAAAAATTCTAGCTCAGTAGTTGTCTGTGCATGTTAGAAGATGTGAAATTATACATCAGAGGGTTTGAAGACTTTCTCATGGGGAGACAGGCAGAACGAATTTAGAAATAGAAAAAAAAATAAACAGATTTTCCACATTCTTTACTGTGAAATGTCCCCAGTTGAATTGCTAGTGCGGAATAAGATAATAAAAGTCCTGCCCGATGAAAAATATAAGCCAATGGTTCTGCCAGAGTTAAATGGCCCTCTGGACAAATGGCTTATAGGTCCCACTTCATCTCAATTCTCCCTTTCCAAGGGAAGATCAAGGGGCAGCTATCCAGCAAAAAGGTATGGGAAAGAAGGACACCTGGAGATATTTCTGCAGCAGGAACCTTGTGCTTTCACAAAACGGGGTGGAAAAACCCTTCATCAGAAGCTACTCTAGGGAACTGCTGCCAGTCATTTAGCTTGAGGACATCTTGGGTTTCTCTTCTGACTTCAAATAAGCAAAAAAAAGATATGTATCTCCTTTTGAACAAAAGGATGCTCCATCTCAAGAATTACCACTTGTACAGGTTCCTAAATAACTACAACTAAGGAATAGGAAGGAAAGAGGACCTCTTCCAAAATAGACTAGAGTTTAGAGTGGAGAAATAGAGGATTTGGCCTTGTTGAAGTTGAATTGGTTTCATTCGTGATTCAAAAGATGAAGTAACATGATGAGAAAGAGTTGTAGGTACACAACAATTTAGAATTACTGTATCTGGACTACCAAAAATTAAATGGGCAGAATGAGATACTGGTCGCTTGAATTTTTGTAGCTGAAATACGTTAGGCCTAGTTATAGCTCCTATGAGCCTGTAATTGGAAGTTCTAGGACTATAAGAAGTTATAGGAATATATANCCCCAGCCAGCGAATGCTGGCTGGGGTATTCTGGGAGTTGAAGTCCGGACATCTTCAAGTTGCCATGGTTAAGAAACACTGCTCTACATTATACTTTTACCCTTTATTCCTGAAGTTTTACATTTACCCTCAAGCCAGGAATACCATTTATTCCAAATTTGATAATACTCTTCCTTCTCCTTCATTCCCATAGGCGGTCTATCCATTTCGGCATATTCATTGAATTTCCTTCTTATAATCTGGTCTGGGAGGAATATCTTGTTTGTTTCCAGTTCTGTGCTAGAACGATTCTACTTGCAGTTATTATGTGTAATATTATGTATTGTAATTTTTCCCCTCCGTTTTCCCATCAAAGATTCCCAGGAGAAACAATTTGGGCTTCAGCTCTATCTTTCGCTCAGTTATCTCTTCCAGCCAATTCCTTATCTTGCGCCAATATTTTTCAACCTTGGGCCAGGTCCACCACATGTGTTGGAATGTTCCCTGCTTATGCCCAAATCTTCAACACTCCGGAGATTGGTTTGGGAACATCATAGCTGGGGTTGGCTCTTGTTGACCACATGGATGGATCTTCTCCAGAATGTTCTTCCTTTAATGTGGATCTTCCAGCAGTCGCCCCATCGCTTATCTTTCCTTCCCCTTTTCTTGGCATCATGGACCTCTCAAGGGAGCTGGCAACCGATTCGGACAGTGAGGAGGTTGGGGAGGAACCTGGGCCAGTCCTGGAGTCTGGGAAAGGCTCTGATGAGGGCTCTGTGTCAGGGATAGAGAGGGGGCCAGGGCTGTCTGACAGTTCTCAGCTTCCTTCAGAGTCAGACATCAGTGAGGCAGAGGAACAGCTGGAGCCTGTTCCCAGTGTGCGCATGTGCAGAGTGGCCAGACGAAGGGAAGAGCTAAAGAACAGGGGTTGACTTGGGAGGAAGGCCAAAAGCAGACGATGAATGGCCCCTCCCAAAGGAAATAAAAGAGGAGCGAAAGGGGAGTGGAGTTTGCAGGAGACCATTAGTTTGCTTAATTGGTTTGTGACTCTCAGAGAGTTTTGCAGAGATCACCCTGGCAGCTCTCCAAGCCAGATAAGGTCTGTGACTGTAAATCCTCCCTTGAAAGACTTTGCTGGATGTGAATGAACAGAATTCACAGTCAATTCATAAAAGGGGTTTTTGTCGAGACAACAAGGAGTTTGCTTCATGCTCTTGGGACGCCTCTCTGCCACCCCACCTGCCCTCTGGAGCCGCTTCCCCCTCCCCTGAGATCTGAAGACCCCCTACCATCTCTCTTCCAGGCAAACCTCAAAGACCATCCTCTTCCCTACAATTGTGAGTGGAAGGCTTTTTGGGGAAGGCGGGAGTTTTTATTATTATCATTATTATTTTGTCTGTCTTATTCACCATCCAGAACCTCCTGGAGTCCGGAAGGGAAGAGCGAATATAAATCAGATTCATAAATAAATGCAAACACATTCATTGAAGGCACAAGGATCTATTCTTGCTGGCCAAAGCTTAACTTTGGGGACACCAGCCCTCCAGAAAACCCGAGCGGGTGGAGGCCAAAAACAAACAAACCCTGAAGCTAATTTGATTTGATGGCCTTTGAGCTCTTTATGTATTAAAGATGATGTTTCTGTCGGAGGTGCCATTTGGCGATGTTTTGGAAGAGGCTCCCCAGAGGGCACCCAACCAAAAGCTTGAGGAGATCTCGTTTAATTCAGAGGCCTTTGGAAATGAAACGCCTCTGGCTATATGCAGTCAGGCCAAAGGAAGTCAGCTTTTGCAAAAAAAAGAAAAAAAGCAGAGCGCAAATATTGAGATGCTAAGAATTTTAACTGAGACGGAATCAGAACAGAAGAGGAGCGAAAGGGGGGTGGGCTTTTGCAGGGAACAATTCGTTCATTTGTTCGTTAATTTGTTTCAGGAGTGTGAAGATCTGTCCGTGAATCTCAGAGACTCTGTGCCCAGAGTCTTTCCTTGCACAGCACCTCATTTGGGAAATATACTGACATGGCAGCTTTCCAAGA